TTTCTCCAAATTATTCATCAATTTTTCCCTTTCTTGGCGAGCATCCTTAATTACGAATCTTTCATCTTCGTGTACCCATTTTTTCCATAAAGCTTTTGCTTCTTCGCTAAAAACAATAAAAACAAAAGAATCAATAAAAAATTATATTATATTGAAAATATTTTTATAAAGATTATTAAAATTCAAGATTGCTTATAAGGATACTTAACGTAAAGAAATTTCTAATTTTTTTTCTTTTTGTCACCTATACAATTCGCATTCTCAGAAATTCCTATTTGCGATCTATAGAGAAACGAATGTAGGGCGTGCAGGATGACGAACATCTTGGCGTGTATTTACGAAACACTCGATGCGAGTAAGATGTACCGAGAGAGACGTGAATGACTCATGACTTTCGGTTGCAACATCGACGGATCTCGACTAATTCGAGAACCAGGAGGTGCTGTTCGTCGTCCTAGACCCTTAACATCGCTCACGGTCGCATACCGGTATTGCAACGAATCCGACCAGTCATGAATATTAAATTAAACTTGACAAATCGATTCAATATATTCATATAGATATATTCGTGGCTAAACGTGATATTTTTAACTTGCAATTTATAAGTTGTAAAAACTCACCTATACATCATTGAATCCATACAAATCTTCTCTCTTTCGATAAGTTCCGCTTCTCTTTTATCGATATTAACCAATCCTATCTTTCTCGCTTCTTCGTCCAATTCGAGATTTTCCATATTGTACAATCTTTTTTCGCGAATTAATTCCAATTTATTTCTCATATCTCTTAGCCGTAAAGCCTCGTCCCAACATTGTTTGTTGCACGCGTGCATTTCTCTTCTGGCAAGATCCTCGATCTTGCATTTCAATTCCTTGTGAGTCAAATATAAAAACATCTCTTTTGAGAGATTCTTATCGCTAGGATCCATTCGCAGCCAAGGCAAACTTTTCTCAATTTCGAACTGTCGAGTGTCGTTCTTTTTTGTGTCTTGATATTCTTTCTCGTTGTGTTCCGATCTACGTGTATCATACGCATTATCGCTTAAACGATCCGATTGTTTTAAGGAATCATTTTCATCGTTTTTTTGAGGAGGAATAAGTTCTTGTTGAGCAAGATTCTTACCATCGCTCGAGGAAGATCTTTCGATTATTCTCCCATTTTGAGAACCGTTTGATTTCGTATCTTCTGTTCTGTTCTCTTTATCGTCCCCACGAAGAAGAATTTTCTCGTTCACCAACTTTTCAGTAGAGGCAGTAGAGCCGTAAGTAAAAGACGACGTACTTGCTGCTCTGTTTGGCGAATCCACAAAATCGTCGTTTCTCACATTGGTATTCTCCAAACTTCTGCGAGCATAACGAGCTGAATATCTCGATTTAGGCCTCTCACTTTCAAAGCTCTGCGACGATAGAAGACTTTTTTCTTCTTGCCGCGTGTCTATATTTTCTTGTTCCTGGGAAGTTTTACTACTACTTTCGCTCATTTTCGAATTTCTATTATAAGAATTTTGTCGAATAAGGTTTGTCGACTCTCTACAGGCACGAGAATATTGAAGATTGGTGTCTCTAAGCGTATTCCAACCTGGCGCATTAGTTTCTGTGGGACAGACAAAATACGACTGATATCTTCGACAAGTTCTAGGCAAATATAAGCTCTGTTCCGCCCTTTTTTCTCTCAATTTTCGTCTTAATACCTCTAAAGAAATCTCTTCCGGCCGACTTTTTATTTTTTTTCGTTCCTCCAACTCCCTTCTATACGTTTCATCTTCCTCTTTCAAAAGATTTCTTAATTTATTCCTCCTGGCCTCTAGCCTTTCCGCTTTCCTAGTCTTCTCGAGTTCGCTTTCGCGATCTAAAGTCCTGTAATTCCACGAATCATAGTGCTTGGCGATTCGACACTCGCGCTCGAAGTATTTGGCAATTTGCTGATAATAATCGTACTTGAGACACTGCCGATTGTGTTTCTGCGCCGCTAACTGGTACTGCCTCTCTCGATATCGTCCCACCCTTTAAATGACAAGCTTCGTTGATGATCTCTTGATTATATTTTGAATCTGATAGGAATGAGAAGAATTCAAATAAATTTTAAATAAATACATTGACTACGACAACGAAACTTTATTCATTATTATTTAATCGGAAAATCATATTTTTATTATTGATACAATATTCTCTAGAAACAGTTTATGCATATATCGCTATTATATCACCGATCCATGATCAATCGTTAATAGATCGTAGAGATTCGACCAGCTTCTTTCTCGCGCGACGATTGATCCGACCTTCGTGCGCACCGATCCGATCGGCGCACAAGTGCATCGTAAACAGACGTGGGATACGTCGTAGGATCATCAGAGAAGAGGCGTTTCAATCAAGAGAGAGTCACCGAAAGCATCCTAGAAGAAGAGGACCGTCTTCTATTTCGAGCTTGCGTCTTTCTATGACGTCACGCCGACGAAAATATCACGCGGTTAGGGAGGTGCAGTCGTGTGGCCCTGATGTGTGGTCCAGGTCTCAATCTTTCCCAGACTCCCAAAAATTCTCAATCACTTCGCTCTTCGATAATACTCTCCTCTCCGAGTTCTCCACGATCGATCGTTCGCGGATCGAAAAAGGGATCCCGAGCTCTCCTCCTTTGATCCAACGGAACCGCGTGGACAATCCGGAAGATTTCCCGTGTGCGTGAAACATCTCGAGAGAAGTGGGTCGTGGCTCTCTCCCACGTAAAACTGATCCCCACCTTTTTCATTTCTGCGTCCAGGAGTCCGTCAGTGGCGCATCGTACACGTCCTCGAGAGGATCCTCGTCGTTTCGCACGGCTCTCGTGGTCCTTTTTTTTTTTTTTTGTACGCAACACCTTGTGCCTCTTGTGTCCACG